GGGGTCACCTGGGTCCTGACCACCCCATACCCTCCCAGGAACCATCATGATGAGTGGCTGCGGGATCCTGACCAATGGGAAAGGGACACGCCGTGAATACTGCGAATTCAGCCTGGATGAGCTGCAGGTGAGGGAACCCCCCACAGCCCTCTAGCGGGGTCCTGGGTGCCTGTCCCCCATGCAGCCCAGCATGGTGGGGGTGGGTCTTGCCACCCCCTTCACCCCCTGTGGTGGGCATTAAGGCAGCTTGGAACACCCTAGAATGCCCCCCTCCCCCCCAATTTTGGGCCCTCCTGTGCTAGCTGTCTGTTGACTTCTGACCCTTGGCTGACCTTTGACTCCCTGCCCAGGAAGGTGACCACATTGGCCTGACCCGGAAGGCAAACAATGCCCTGCACTTCTACATCAACGGCATTGACCAAGGTGGGGGTGGAGGGGCACTAGACTGGGTACACCTGGGGTCTCTGGGGAGGGCGGTGGTATGCTTCTTGGGAGGGTTGTGTGGGGGGGTCCCCATGCCTGGAGGAGGGGGGGGGGGGCTGGTGGACAGCATAGGCATGCTGGGGGTGGAGCTGGGAGCACGGATGCTGGGTTATCTGGGAGGGGAGGAGGTTGTAGGGGGTGGGAGCAGGGGGAGCTGGGAGCCCAGACACCTGGGTTCTTTGGGATTGCAGGCGCTGGGGGTGGGAATGTGGGGGAGTTCAGAGCCCAGATGCCTGGGTTCTCTAGGAGGGAAGTGGGGGTCCATGGCAGGGCTGAGAGCAGGGGGCATGGGGAGCCCAGATGCCTTGGTTTTCTTTGCATGGAGATATTAACATGGGTTTGGGGGCCAGGGGACGAGGAGCCTGGACGCCTGGGTTCCTTCCAGTTTTTGGAGTTGAGCAGGGCCTGGGAGGCAAAGGCAGGTGGTCTTTTGGGATTCAAGACATCTGCGGGCTGGGACTGGGAGCCAGGATGCCCAGAGCCTCTCCAGCTCTGAGAGGGCAGTAGGGGCTGGGGGGGTGGCAGGGGACCACCTCCCAGCCCCCCATGTCCCCTCCCCCCAGGCGTGGCAACAACGCTAACACCGCCGGTGGTGTATGGTGTGGTGGACCTGTACGGCATGGCGGTGAAGGTGACCATCGTGCACAACCACAACCACAGTGATCGCCTGCGGCGCAACAACGCCATCCTACGCGCCCTGTCCCCTGAGGCCGGGCGCCGGCCCCCCGCCCCTGAGCCCCAGCCCCAACCTGAGCGCCTGCTCTTCCACCCCAACTGTGGCCAGAAGGCCGCCATCACCAATGAGGGCCGCACTGCGCTGCGCCCTCAGTGAGTGCCCTGGTGGGCGGGAGGGGCACCGGCAGGGCTGGTGGGGCAGGGGACTGCAAGTCGGGAGAGAGGGATACCAGCAGGGTTGGGGTGGCAGGGGGCTGCAGGTCAGGAGAGAGGTATACCAGCAGAGCTTTGTGGGTTAGGGGCTACATCTCAGTCCTGCGTTCTACCCGGACACGTCCTACCTCAGAACTAGGCAGATGTGGCGTTGAGTATTGGGGGTCTTTCTTACACTCGGCCACCCCCACCCCAGAGCTGGTTGCCCCTTGCTCCCCCACCCCGAGCTGGTTGCATCTCAGGCCTGGGGCAGGGGGCTTTTATTAACTGACCCCCCGCCCTTCCCCCCCCACCCTCCCCCAGCGCCACAGACGACTTCAACCACGGGGTGGTGCTGAGCAGCCGCCCACTGCGCACCGGGGAGGTTTTCCAGGTCCGCATCGACAAGATGGTGGACAAGTGGGCTGGCTCCATTGAGATCGGCGTCACCACCCACAACCCCACCTACCTGCAGCTTCCCTCCACCATGACCAATCTGCGCTCTGGTAAGGGGACCAAGACATCTGGGCTTTCATTGTGGGGGTGACCCTGGACTTTGGGCTTGGGGTGGGGGTACAAAGATACAAGCATCAGGGCTTTTATTATTGCGGGGGGGGTCGGGTCCAGGGGAGGGGGTACAGGACACAGGCATCCAGGCACGCATTTTGGGGTGGACCCAAGCATTTGGGCTCCTGGAATTTGTCCGGGGGGGGCGCTGGTATGGGACCCAGGTGTCCGGGCTTTTGTTGTGGTAGGGCCCAAGTATCCAGGCTCTTAGGGTTGGGTGGGGGTTACGGGACCCAGCTGTCTGGGTTACCATTATGGCAGGTACCCAGGCATGCAGGCTCCTGGGGTCAGGAGGATATGGGACCCAGGCATCTGGGCTCATGTTGTGGCAAGGATCCAGGTGCCCAGGGTCACAGGGGCTTGGGATCCAGGTGTCTGGACTCCCACTGTCAGGGAGGAACCCAGGTATCTGTGCTCCCAGGGTCGGGGTTACAGGACCCAGGTATCTGGGTTCCCATTGTTGAGGGGACTTGAGCATCCAGGCTCTTGGTGTCAGAGGGATATGAAACCCTGCATCCGGGCTTCCATTGTGGGGGAGACCCAGGCATCCGGGCCCTGCCCCCTCTGTAACCCCACCCCTAATTAACTGGTTCCCAGGCACCTGGATGATGACGGGCAATGGGGTGATGCACAACGGAACGACTATCCTGGACGAGTACGGTCACAACCTGGACAGGCTTAAGGTGCGGCTGAGGCTGCTGGGGCTGGGGGAGAGGTGTAGATGCAGAGCTGGCTGCATCTTGCCTCTGGGCAGCACGGTTTGTTGTATGCAGCTGGAACCCACCCCAGAGGCGGTCACGTCTCGGCATTGGGCAGGGGATCCCTGGTTTCAGGCCAGGCTCTGGGGTGGGTGGGGGGTCCTGGTGCTGGCAGGGGTCTCATTTCCCCCTCCCCTCCCCTCCCCTCCCCTCCCCTCCAACAGATCGTGCCAGCTTTGGGGGGCTCGGAGGGGGCAGCTCTTGTTGAACAAAGCCGTTTATGGATTTCTCTCCCACTTCCCTTGTGCAAGTCTTAAATTAGCACAGAGCAGCATGAGACATCTACAAGTGCGGGCCGGTGGGAAAGTTGCTGAGAACTTGTCTATCTTTGAAAAGTTTGCCTGGAAACTTTCCCATGAAGCAAACGCACTTCAACACGATTCCCAATGACATAAACAGACATTCAAATACGGCAAGGGCAGTGGGGGCGGGATCAGGGGAACAAAAGGCTTTATCCCCTTCCTGGAGGTGTATTGACCCTGCTGTCCCCTTCTCACCATATTTATTTTGAGATGTTGGGGGCTTATGGGGGGGTCAGGGAGGGGTGGTAATTTTAGGGGCCCAGGAGCTGGGGAGGGGCCTGGGGATCATGGGGGAGTCCAGAGCGTGGGAGGGGCTTGGGGGTCAGTGTAGGGTGTCAAGAGATGGGAGGGGTGGGCTGCATCATGTGGGGGGCCGGGCAGGATTAGGCAGTCATTACACGGTCCTAGGAGATACTGGGGGTCATGGTGGGTGGGGTCTGGGAGAGGCTGGGCATTGCTGTAGGGTCTCGTGGGAGGGTTGGGAGTGGTGGGGGTGGTCCAGGGTCTGGGGGTCACTTTAGGGTCCTAGGTGATGTTGGGGGTCAGGTCTTGGGGGGTAGGGGGGTCCAGGTTCTGGGAGTGCCTGGAGGGTCATGGGGGTGGCTGGGGGTCATGGTAGAGTCCCGGGAGAGGTTGGGGGAAGTCAGGATGGGGGTCTTGGAGCTGCTGAGTGAGGGCTGAGTCCCAAGAGATGTGTGTGTGAGGGAGGTCTTAGGGCTGTTGCAGGGGAGGACTTGGGGGTCCCAGGAGATGTGCCGGGGAGGGGTTGGGGCCAGGGGATCAGTGGGAGGAGCTGACCCCCTCTCCCCCCCAGAGATGCTGCCACTGGTGGAGGAACTGGTGGAGGGAGGGGCTGCGCTGTCCCCAGGCAGCCCGTCGCCAGGGGCGTCGGGCAGTGACCTGCGCTTCCACCACCTGCATGGCAGCAATGCCGTCATCACCAATGGCGGACGCACAGCACTGCGCCACAACTGCCGCAGCGAGTTCAACGATGCCATCGTCATCTCCAACCGGTGCGTGTCCCCTTCTGCCCAGGGCAGGCTCCCAGCTTGCCCTGGGGCAGCCCCCAGATCCAGAATTAGCTTCCCAGCCTCCCCTGGGGTTAGCCTGATGCCCAGAGGCAGGCTCCCAGCATGCCCTGAGTTAGCATCAGGTCCAGAACCAGACTCCCAGTAACCTCTGGGGCCAGGGCCTGGCTCCCAGCATGCTCTGGGGCTGGGCCTGGGCTCCCAGCATTCCCTGGGGCAGCCTCCCAATCCAGAACCAGCCACCCAGCATGCCCTGAATGTCCAGAGCCAGGCTTCCAGCAGCCCCTGGGGCTGGGCCTCGACTCTCAACATGTCCTGAAGTTGGTCTGTATTCCAGAGCCAGATTCCCAGCAGTCCCTGGGGTCATCCTGACACCTAGAGGCAGGCTCCCAGCATCCTCTGGGACCAGGGCCAGGATCCTAGCATGCCCTGGGTTAGCCTGAGACCCAGAGCCGGGCTTACAGCATCCCTTGGGGCCAAGGCCAGGCTCCCAGCATACCCTTGGGCAGCCCCCAGAACCAGTCTCGCAACATGCCCTGGGGTATTTCCAGGTCCCGAACCAGACTTCCCCAGGCGAGCTGGGGGTGCGCTCCCAGCATGCCCCGGGACAGACCCAGGTCTGCTTCTCCCCTGTCTGAGCCCCCAGCGGAGTTCCCAGCAACCCCTGACCTCATGACCCTATCCCCACAAGGCTGAGGCCAGGCCTGGGGGTCCCTGCACCCCCTCCCACCCCAGGGGTCCCTGGGCTCATGACACCCTCCCCCACCCACAGGTCTCTGCGGGACGGGGAGCTCTTTGAGATTGTCATCCAGAAGATGGTGGATCGGTGGTCAGGCTCCATCGAGGCAGGTGAGAGCCACTAGGGCAACCCCCTCCCCTTCCCCCAGAGCTTCACTTCCTGTCCCGAACTCTAAGCAGCATCCTGGAGGGGATTAGAATGTCTGTACCTCAGCGCTGGCTGCGTCTTGGCTCTGCATAGACAGAAATGTTGTTATGTTCAGCTGTGGCACATTCTAGAGCTAGCTGCATCTCAGCCTTGGGTAGAGAGCTATTGTTACACTCAGCTGCGATACATCCCAGAGCTAGCTGCATCTTAGTCCTGGGTAGAGGGATGTTGTTATACTCAGCTGGGCCCCACCTGAGAACTGGCTGCATTTCACTGCCGGGCAAAGGGAACCTTGTTATATGGAGCCACCCCAAAGCTGGTTGCATCCAGGGTCTGTTATACTCAGCCATGAGCCCACCCCAGAGCTGGCCACATCTAGACTCTGGGGAACCCCCGGGGCAAGCACCAACCTCCCATCTCTGGCAGGCGTCACAGCCATTCGGCCCGAGGACCTGGAGTTCCCCAACACCATGACCGACATTGACTACGACACCTGGATGCTGAGGTGAGCGGGGGAATCCAGGCATCCAGGGGTATTCAAAGGCAGAAGGGAGAGAACCCAGGTGTCCAGGGAGTTAGGGGGATATGTGAATTAAGGTGGAGGGTTCAGAGCTAGAGAGAACCCAGGGGTCCAGGTTGTCTCTTGGGGCTGGGATACAGCAACGGGGGCCGGGGCAGAGAGAGAACCCAGGCGTGCAGGGCATCCTGAGGGGCTGGGATTAGGGAGAGAATTCAGGTGTCCAGTGGACTGAGACATAGTGATGGGGGGCCAGGCTAGAGAGATCCTAGGCATCTGGGGGACAAGGACACAGTGATGGAGGGGATGGGCTGGAGAGAACCCAGGTGTCCAGGGCATCCAGGGGACCCTGAATAAGATGGAGGGTTGTGGGGTAGAGAGAACCTGGGCATCTGGGAGGGCTGAGATACAGTGACCAGGAATAGAGGAGAGAACCCAAGTGTCCAAGGGACTGGGACACAGGGCTAGAGAGAACCTGGGTATCCGGGGCATCCAGGGGACCCTGAATAACAGGGATAGAAAGATCCTAGGCATCTGGTACACCCTGGGGGCCAGGCCTAAGCAAAGCCACAGGGTTTGAGGGGCCCCTGGGGGTCCCCCACAACCCCCCATCCCTCCCTCCACAGTGGGACAGCCATCATGCAGGATGGCAACACAATGCGCAACAACTATGGCTGTGACCTGGACTCGCTGGGTGCCGGCGCCCGTATTGGCATGATGCGCAGTGCCAAGGGTGATCTGCGCTACTTCATCAATGGCGTGGACCAAGGCATTGCCTGCTCTGGGCTGCCCCCAGGCAAGGGTGAGCCCCATCCCCCGGGGCGGGGCAGGGGGGCTGGTGGGGGCGGGGGCACCCTCCACCTG